CTTGTGATTGAGTTCTAGTTTCAAAGCATTGTGGTCTGAAAATATGCAGGGAATAATCCCAATCTTTTGGTACTGGTTGAGATCCGATTTGTGACCTAGGATGTGATCAATTCTGGATAATGTTCCATGGGCACTAGAGAAGAAGGTGTATTCCGTTGCTTTGGGATGGAATGTTCTGAATATATCTGTGAAGTCCCTTTGGTCCAGTGTGTCATTTAAAGTCTTTATTTCCTTGTTGATATTTTGCTTAGATGATCTGTTCATTTCAGTCAGGGGGGTGTTAAAGTCACCCACTATTATTGTATTGTTGTCAACAGGTTTGTTTGCTTTTGTTATTAATTGCCTTATATAATTGGCTGCTCCCACGTTAGGGGCATAGATATTTACAGTTGTTAGATCTCTTGTTGGATAGACCCTTTAAGTAGGATATAGTGTCCTTCCTCATCTCTTATTACAGTCTTTGTTTTAAAATCTAATTTGTCTGATATAAGGATTGCCACCCCAGCTTTCTTTTGGTGTCCATTAGCATGGTAAATGGTTTTCCACCCCTCACTTTCAGTCTGGGGGTGTCTTTGGGTCTAAAATGAGTCTCTTGCAGAAAGCATATCGATGGGTTTTGTTTTTTTTTTTAAACATCTTTTTTTTTTAAGATTTTTATTTATTTATTGAGAGAGAGAGAGAATGGTAGAGAGAGAGCATGAGATGGAGGAAGATCAGAGGGAGAAGCAGACTCCCTGCTGAGCAGGGAGCCTGATGCAGGACTCGATCCCGGGACCCCAGGATCATGACCTGAGCCGAAGGCAGTCGCTTAACCAACTGAGCCACCCAGGCACCCGATGGGTCTTGTTTTTTAATCCAATCTGATAGCCTGTGTCTTTTGGTTGCGGCATTTAGCCCATTTACATTCAGGGTAACTATTGAAAGATATGAATTTAGTGCCATTGTATTGCCTGTAAGGTGACTGTTACTGTATATTGTCTGTGTTCCTTTCTGATCTATGCTGCTTTTAGGCTCTCTCTTTGCTTAGAGGACCCCTTTCCATATTTCTTGGAGGGCTGGTTTTGTGTTTGCAAATTCCTTTAGTTTTTGTTTGTCCTGGAAGCTTTTTATCTGTCCTTCAATTTTCAATGAGAGCCTAGCTGGATATAGTGTTCTTGGCTGCATATTTTTCTCGTTTAGTGCTCTGGAGATCTCATACCAGTCCTTTCTGGCCTGCCAGGTCTCTGTGGATAGGTCTCTTGCCAATCTAATATTTCTACCATTGTAGGTTACATATCTCTTCTCCCGAGCTGCTTTCAGGATTTTCTCTTTGTCTCTGAGACTCGTAAGTTTTACTATTAGATGTCGGGGTGTTGACCTATTATAATTGATTTTGAGAGGGGTTCTCTGTGCCTCCTGGATTTTGATGCCTGTCTCCTTCCTCACATTAGGGAAGTTCTCTGCTAGTATTTGCTCCAATATACCTTCTGCCCCTCTCTCTCTTTCTTCTTCTTCTGGGATCCCAATTATTCTAATGTTGTTTCGTCTTATCGTATTGCTTATCTCTCGAATTCTGCCCTCGTGATCCTGTAGTTGTTTCTCCCTCTTTTTCTCAGCCTCTTTATTTTCCATCATTTGGTCTTCTATATCACTGATTCTCTCTTCTGCCTCATTTATCCTAGCAGTTAGTGCCCCCATTTTTGATTGCACCTCATCAATAGCCTTTTTGATTTCGACTTCGTTAGATTTTAGTTCTTTTATTTCTCCAGAAAGGGTTTCTCTAATAACTTTCACGCTTTTTTCAAGCCCAGCTAGTATCTTTAAAGTCATGATTCTGAACTCTAGGTCCGACATCGTACTAATGTCCGTATTGAGTAAGTCCCTGGCTGACGGTACTATCTCTTGTTCTTTTTGCTGAGGTGATTTTTTTCTTCTTGTCATTTTGTCCAGAGGAGAATAGATGAATGAGAGAACAAAATGCTAACAGGTTAACAACGTCCCCAGCAAATATGCTGTATACAAATCAGAAAAGACCTGAAACCAGGGGAAAAGAAAGGGAAAGAAATAAAAAAGAGAGAGAAAAGAAAGGAAAAAAAAAAAACAAAAAGAAAAAGATAAAAACAAAAACAGAACAATACAAAAAAACAGAATATGATCAAATATGATCAGGCTAGTGCATAGATCAGTGCCACACACTAGATTTTGGGCCTATTTTGGTCTGTTAGAAAAAAGTGCCTCCTAAAATTTTAAAGAAAGAAAGACTTGTATATGTACAAAATAAGGGTTGATTCAATGAAGGGATGGAAGATGACTGTAAAGATGAAAATTATAAAAGATTTTATAAAAGGAATTGATAAGAAGTTGTTTGAAACAAGAAAGAAGAAGATTTAAAAGAAAAAGAAAAACAGAAACAAAAAAAAAGGGGAGAGAATGTGATCAGGCAGGAGACTAGAACAAAGCCATACACTAGTGATTTAGGGTATATTTTGATCTGTTAGAAGAAACTATCTCAAAATTTTAAGGAGAGAACAACTTATATATATATATGCCAAAAATAAGGGTAACTACTATGAAGGAATAAAATATGACTCTAAAAATGAAAAATAAAATTTTTTTTTTAAAAAAAGGGATTGATAAGATGTTGGTTGAAAAAGGGAAAAAGAAAAATTAAAAAAAACAGTTAAAAAATTAACTTTGAAAAACTAATGAATCATGGTAAAAAAAGCCATGAATTCTATGTGCAGTATTCCCCTAGTGCTGGAGTTCTCCCGTTCTCCTTGATGGGTAAACTTGGTCTTGGCTTGCTGGCTGTTCGTGCTGATCTTCTGGGGGAGGGGCCTGTTGCTGTGGTTTCCAAATGTCTTTGCCGGAGGCGGAATTGCCCCGCCCTTGTCGGTCCGGGCTAAGCAAGCTGCTCGGGTTTGCTCTCAGGAGCTTTTGTTCCCTGCAAGCTCTCAGTACAGCTTTGGAGGACCAGGGTGAAAATGGTGGCCTCCCAATCTCTACTCGGAGGAGCTGAGAACTCGGGGCCCCGCTCCTCAGTGCGCCCCCAGAGAAAAGCAGTCACTCCCGTGTCCCCGGTCTCCAGCCGCACTCCGTGCTCACCCGGCCTGTGACCGAGCATTTCTATCTCTGGCACCCGACCCCGTGTGGAGTCTCCAAACCCAGCAGATCCCTGCGGTGCGCTCCCGCGCCGCTCCTCCCGGGGGAGGAAGGGGAGTCTCCCCGGCTCTGCCGCTTGTTGGGTCCCTGCTGGAGGAGCAGTGGCCCGACTGGGCCGCGGATCACAGTTTATGGCAACCCCGAGCTGAGAGCCCCGCCTCGGCTCCGTCTCTGCAGCCGGCTTCCCCGCTCCGATCCCTGGGAGCTCTGCCGCACTCAGGCACCCCCGGTCTTCCTGTGACCCCGAGGGTCCTGAGACCACACTGTCCCGGGAGGATTCCACCCCCCGCTTAGCCACTGGAGCGATGTCCCTCCGCGGAGCCGGCTTCTAAAAGGTCCGATTTTGTGCTCCGCGGCTCTAGCACTTGCCAGAAGCGGCCGACGGAGGCCCCCTCCCCCGCCGTCTATCCTCCCGAATATCGCCTCGGATTCACTTCTCCACACATCCTTCCTTCCAGTAAGTGGTCGCTTTTCTGTTCAGAGAGTTGTTGCTACTCTCTTCTTCGAGCTCCTGTTGAGTTCGTAGGTGTTCAGAATGGTTTGATCCCTATTCAGCTGAATTCCTGAGACCAGACGAAATCCAGGTCTCCTATTCCTCCGCCATCTTGCTCCGCCCCCCTTCTCCAAAAATATTTTCAAATGAGATTAACATTTTAGTAAAGCCGACAGTCTCTATAATGTGGGTGGGCCTCGTCCAACCAGTAGAAGGCATCGATAGCCAGAAACTGACCTCCCTGGAGCAGGAAGGAATTGTGGCAGCCGACTGCCTTTGCTTTGAATTGCAACTCTCCTTGGGTCTCCCACCTGCTGGCCCACCTTGCAGATTCTAGACTTGCCAATCCCCCACCCTTGTGCGAGCCAATTCCTTAACACAGATCTCTCTGTGTCTCTGTCTCCCTCTGTTTGTCTGTCTGTCTCTCTAAACACCCTGTTGGTTCTGTTTCTCCAGAGAACTCTGATTAATGACACACTTTATATGCCCATTTTACAGGTGAGGAAGTTGAGGCATTAAGCACTGTGCCCAAGGACAGACACTTGATGAGCGTGAAGCCAAGATTCCAGGCTAGGTCTTTCTGAGCCACAGCACAGTACAGCTTCTCCTGCATGAACTTGAAGGATGAGAACACAGCGACCTGCTCATAACACACACTATTTACTATAAATCATCTCTCCTTTTTAATATTCCCCAGGTAGGGTGGGCTTTTATAGCACGTGAGAATCATCAACGCACAAACGCCTTATCATTCAGGTGAAGTGCAAAAATTTCCATTAGCAGAGAAGGCTGGTTGACAGCTATGTACACAGTATGTGTGCTTGACCTGTTTCGGTCCTATATATGAAGTCCTCTCCTTTACGGTCATAATTTCCAAAAACATCCTGAAATAACCACACAATTTTCACACACAGTCAGCTACAAGGTCTTTAGGAACACAAGAGAGAACTAAACAGACAACAGTTTAAAATTCACGGTTTTGCTGAAAATAAGATTACATCTCCCCTCCCTTCTAAAAATGTCATTAAAATAAAGAGAAATAAACAGTACATGTGGATGAAATTAAAATAGAGAAAAACAAACTGCGCACACAGAGTCCTGAGCCTCTTGATGTCTTTCGCCGTGGGCTAAAGTCCCATTTGAGGTCAAAACTTCAAAAGTAGCCTCAAACTGGAACTTTTCCACAGGAAGAGCCAGCAGTGAATATTGACCCCAGATCAATTGTTTCTGTTTAAGCTGTGTAGACTGCTCCAGTCAGAGAGAGCAAGCCAGGTCCCTGTTGATAAAGAGCTGCTTTCAGCTGGACTTGTCACCCCCAAACGCATAGGAACTATCTTGCCGCTTCTGAATTAAAATGATTGAGAAGATGATGATGAAGATATTGATCGTGTTTGTGCTTGGAATGAACTACCCGTCTTGCGCAGGTAAGGAACTTGGAGACACGGGCCCCCTGCCCCAAATGCTGTGGCGCCGTGCTGGTCCCTGTGCCTTGTCTCACTGTGTCCCCATGTGCTTGTGGGTGCAGGTTTCCCGGTGTATGACTATGACTCATCCTCCTTGAGGGAAGCCCTCCGTGTGTCCGTGGCAAAAGTGAATTCCCAGTCCCTGAGCCCGTATCTGTTTCGGGCATTCAGAAGCTCTGTAAAAAGAGTAAGTGCATATTATATCTTCTTGATTCCTCTTTATATACACTGCTTTCGGTTATTTATTTTTTCTGTCTGTTGGGTACACTTTAAACACTTTTCCAAAAGATAGTAGCTAGTCCTCTCTTTCGTACTGTTTTTGGACAGAGAAGGAATTTAATAACAGTTACTGTCCTAAGGCCCTCCAAGCCACTTTTGATGCAGGATTCTTCTGGAGTATCTGCCCTCTGGCCTGGCTTCCCATTTCCAGATGTTGCCCTGCACGCGCCCTGCTTCTGTATCCACAGCTCCCATGGTTCCTCTTAACATGTTTCCGTACGAGCTCGCTTATCAGAAATGAGGCTTTTTCCGATTTCAGCAGTCCTGCTCCTCATACCTAGAGGCAATAAATCCCGGCTTTTAAGCTCAAGAAATCCCACCTTCCTTTGTCAATTTGGTAATGATCTGTTTCCTGTTAGCTTTGGGGAAATGGGGAAATGTGAATTTTCTTGAGCTTCCAATGACTTGGTCTGTGATTAGCAAAGAAAGAAATGCAGAAATTCGCTTCAAAGGAAATGAGGAGCCTGGACAGCGAGTCACCTTCCCCTCCTCCATCTGCAGGTGACTTCGAGGCTTACTCACTGTCCAGGCATGGTAAGGACAGAAACTCCCCCAGGCTCGTGGTTGCTAAGATGGGAGGTGGGAGAGGTTCTGTAAAGTCACAGGTCCTGTGAACGAGAGTTCTGTGCAGCCAGGCTTCTCCAGAGCAGAACCAATAGAATGTGAGTGTGTGTGTGTGTGTGTGTGTGTGTGTGTGTGTGTGTGTGTGTGAGAGAGAGAGAGAGAGAGAGAGAGAGATGTGGGGAGAGAGGGAAGAGAATGAGTGAGAGATTTATCAGAAAGAATTGGCTTATACTATGTGGAGGTTTGGTAAATCCAAAATCTGTAGGGTGGGCTGACAGGTTGGAGGCCCAGGAAAGAACTGATTCTTGCAGTTCACGTCTGAAGGCAGTCTGCAGGCAGAATCCCTTCCTGCTCAGGAAAAAGACAATCTGTTCTATCCAGGCCTGCAACTGATTGCATGAGGCCCACCCACATTAAGGAGGAAGAACTGCTTTATTCAAATCCACCAGTTGAAAATGTTAGTCCCGGGGCACCTGGGTGGCTCAGTGGTTAAGTGTCTGCTTTCAGCTCAGGTCGTGATCCCAGGGTCTTGGGATGGAGTCCCGCATCGGGCTCCCTGCTCAGTGGGGAGTCTGCTTCTCCCTCTGCCTCCCCCCCATCTCTTGTGAATAAATAAATAAAATCTTTTTTAAAAAATAAAATGTTAGTCCCATCCAAAAAACACCTTCACAGAAATATCCAGAGTGTTTGACCAAATATCTGAGCATCGTGGCCCAGTCAAATTGACACATAAAACTAACCATTATAATCACCCGCAGGAATTTGTTATGGGTTTTTATTGCTCGGCCATTTTTGTTTCTTTTTGGAATAAAATACCAAAATGTGCTCATTATAAAATGTCAGAAAATATAACAAGAAAGAAAAAAACAAAAATATTATCTATTATCCATTCCTCTGAGATATCCACTATGAGCATGTGGGAGAGGCCTTTTTGGATCCTTTTCATGTATTGGTATAAAACATATTTTTAAAAAGAAAAACAGGAGCATAGCATAACATCAATTATAAAGTCCCACAGTTTACTTCAGCAACAGTGCTGGATTTGGGATTTTCCCTAGTTGATGCCTTATTGTCAAACATTTAGGTTGTCCCACCTTTTCAAACAACACGGAGTGGAAATTAGCGGGTTGAAAGTGAGTTTGTACGAAAAAGCAAAACTGGTAGGCTTTTCTCCTTATTCTGAACAGAGTGCTTAAAGATGCAAAGAACGGTTGCAAATTCATCTCGTAGTTCAATAAAATTATCTGTGCTCAAAAAAATCCCACATTTTCATCTTTTTAACTAAGCCTTTGTCTTGTCAGTTTGTTTTCACTGGAGTGCTTTAAGGGAAATTGCTGGTGCACTATCTAGGTGGAGAGCGCCAACAATGCACTCTAGCGGAAGAGGGCTTTATTTTTTTTATGAAGCTCAGATTTATTATCCAATATTTTAAAATTATGAATAAATGAGGTAGTAAATATTGTCGAGGCTGAAGTTTTATTCTTACTTGTTTCCAGGAAACTCTTCTTCTATGAGCACTCTTCCCCCGGTGTTAGAAGGAGACACAGGGGTTCCCCCGTCCCAGGCTTGGAGTTTGTCACTTATTTCCCAATGCAGTGTTCTACCTGTGCCCATCCTTCCCAATGTGTGAGCGGTCTGTGCGTTCACAGAGGGTTGTCCCCACCTTCTCCTCACTGGGAAGTTGGTTGAATGTGTGCTGACTCAGCTTTGTCACAAGGTGGGCCCAAGGACTGAAAGGGAGTTTTAGAGCCTGGGGGTGTGGTCGGGTACTGGGACATGGCAGCTCCCATCTGGCCTCCCTGCTGCCGTTTGTTCCTGCCGCAGTGTGGTCTCTTTGCAGCAGCCGTGGTGATTTACATCTTAGCTCATAAATTCTTCTGAGAACTTCCCATTGCAATGAGAATGAAATCTAAACACCGTCCCATGGGTGACAGGGCCATAAATTACGCGACACACCCTGACTTTCACACATCATGGTGTATGGTTCTCCTCTTGTTCATTTTGCTCCAGCCACAACAGCTGGACTTACTCTGCCCCAGGACACTGGCGCTGCTTTTTCCACACATGATGGGCTCTTTCCCATTCTAGAAGCCTCAGCGGAAAATATTTCTTCCTCGGGAGGATTTCTCTGGCACTTTCTCTACAGCAGCTACTTCCTCTTCTCCACCCCCATTACCATGTTGTTTGTTCCTTCATAACACCATAACCTTCTAGAATGACCTTGCTTACTTCTCTTTAAAGTGTTTACTGTGCAGCTGTATGTAATCTAAGCTGGAACCTAAGCTGCATGGGGTCTTCCCTGCTCTGCCTTTGGGGCTGGACACACTGTGAGTGCTCATTAAGTCACGGGACTTCCGTGTCATCAGAGAATCGCAGATTCATCATGAAGTTTGGAAGTTTCCCCCAGTATCCTACCCTTGGTGGAAGGGAGTAGACAACTGTGTGAACTCATTTATGGACCGCAACTGATCAAACAGGAAGCAGGATGGGGTAGCACTGTACAGCCGAGATGTACTGATCACTTCATTTCTTATTTCAGGGATTATTAAGAAATTATGGGGGCATTCTTTTAGGAAAATGATCCTTAAAAATACAGTTGATTCTCATTGTTTGTGGTAGTTGTATTCTTATAAAGTCACCATGCACACTAAATTGGTACATACCGAACCACTGCTCCTGGTCTAAATTAGTATATACTGAACCATTCCTCCTGGTCTAACACATGTGTTCTCTCCATGTGGCATATCCAGACCTTCTGGTGCTTAGGAGCATGGACAGCACTCTAGGACTACACTTGGGGGCCATTTGAAACAACAAAATCACCAAGAAAAAACCCCCCCCCAAAATGAGAAAAACGTGGTCCAAAATAAACCAGGAAAGTGACACTTGTCTACAGTATGACAGCAGAAGCGAGAAGGCAGAGAGCTGCCTTGTCTGATCTCAGCTGGGAACATGTGCACGGGGCAGCTCAAGGTCTTTGCCACTCTGCACTTGTCTGTGGATGACTGCAAAGGGACCCTGAATACTAATTTTGGGGATTATGAATACATTTTAGTGAGTAGGCACATTTGCAAAAATGGTATCTCTGAATCATGAGGATCAACTGTAAATTAAGTCATCAGAGGTAACATTCGCCTTGCAGTTCAGACACCTAAGTTCTGGTTCCATTTTTTTTTTTTAAATGAAGTATTATGTGCCTTTAGAAAAGCACTTCTCCTCTCAGACTGAGGGGGTGGAACTGGGGATTGCTAAAACCACTTAACAGCTTCCGCCATGAAGGAGTCTGTAACTTTGTCTCATTGTGCAGGGAGAAACATTTGTAGCATTGTAAACTTCAGAATCTCACCAAGGCACACTGATGCTTTGTCTTTGTGAAGGTCAATGTTCTGGATCAGGACAGCCTGAACATGGACTTAGAGTTTGGCATTCGGGAGACAACATGCAGGAGAGATTCTGGAGAAGACCCCGCGACCTGTGACTTCCAAAGGGGCTACTACGTGGTAAGTACGGCAGGAAACGCCATATCCCAGAAACTAGCAGGACGAAGCGCCTCGCTTCTTCCATGACCTGGAGCTGTTCCAAGTCATAAGGAGACCTTGGCCCCTGCCTGGCACCTGGCCACCCTGAGAGGCACCAACTGTGTCCATGCTGTGTTTCCCTGGGGAGGGAGCAGTGTGGCTCAGTGGTTGAGGACTTGGGCTCTAGAGTTTGCGGTCTTGACTGATCCTGGCAAATTATTTAAGCCCTGTTGCCTCAATTTCCTGCTTCTTGAAATGGGTAGGATGATGGTTCCAGGCACAGTGAATACAAAGAGGTCAATCCCAAAGGTAAATTCCAGAGATGTTTCAAATTCTGCTTTAAATGAATCTAAAATGCCGACTGTGCTCTTGGCGTGAGTTGCATTATTTTGTAGTTGACTGTTGTGTGATATCTGTCCCCCTCCTCCTCACTGGCTTGGGCTCCATGGGGTCAGGACCATGGTATGTTCAGTTTTTTATCGCCGGTGACCAGAGCAGGGCCCAACACTTGGTTCCCATCCACGGGGAAGGGTCTGGTGGATCAGGTTAGTGCCACCAAGCCAACACTTGCTCTCCAGGGCATTTGTGTTCAGATGCATGAGTTCTCGGGTTTTGTTACTTTATGAGTTTGTTACTTGATGAGTCGCTTTATGTCAGGGTCCCTTCACAAGAGTGTAAATTCTGAAAAGGGAATCCTTTGTTTTGTTCTTTCATGAGACTTTTCTCTGTGACTGTTTTATGAAGGACTCAAACCAAAGTGTCACAGCATCTGTTCCTAACGGAATCTGAGGTCGAAGAAGAGAACAAAGTCCTTTGGGTTCTTCCCACTTCCTTTTGTTCCATTGGGAAAATCGGGGCAGCCCGCTCTGCTCCTGGAGGAAATGGTTGCTCTCCTGGGGGACTCGTGGTACACCAAATGCCTAACAGATCTTTAAATATTTCATTTGTTTCTGCTTCAGTCTTGAGAAATTTTCATTTTGGAAACATGAAATGCCTCTGTGAATTTTTCCTTTCTGTTTGCATCGTTCTGTCAGGCCTTACGGTATCGCCTGATCTCTCACATAGGTCCTAACCTTTTCTATGAGCTGCTGAGGATTGAACTCAATTTTTTCTTTTCCAGCCCTCAGCTATTTGCAGAAGTACGGTGCGGGTGTCTGCTGAGCAGGTGCAGGACGTGTGGGTTCGCTGCCACTGGTCCTCCAGCTCTGAGTCTAACAGCAGCGAAGAGGTAGGACCCAGGGGCTTGGTGTCCTCCAGAACAGCGCCTGGTAGGGTCTGTGTGGGTCTGTGACACTAAGACTGGTGTGATGGAATCACGGGAACATCACCCAGGCAGGGGCGAGCACAGCTCTGCTGACTTGGCTGGAATCACTCCTACTTCTCCAACCTCTTCTCTCTCTCCCCCACTCTGTTTTTATTTCCCAGAGATTTAGGAACAGAGAGCTTAAAAGCAATAGTTGGCAAATCTTCAAAGATTCAGATCTAAGTACGCAGCTCCCTGGCCCTGTGGTTTAGTGGAGGGAAGGCGGAGGGGCATTTTTGTCGGACTAGAGTTCAAAACCATTCAGCAGCTCTGCAGTCTAGGTCAGGGTGCTTGACTCCATGGTCTGCGGCCTCTTCATCTGCGAGATGCCAAAAGTAAAAGCCACCTGATAATGTAGAGAGAACTGAGTAAGTTGGTGGACGAGAAAGATCTGGTCCAGCGTCTGGTCCACAAGAGATGCTTGATGAATGGCAGGACATGGCTTCCCCCACCCCAAATGTGTTGAAATTGATTTGCAATCATTCTGTGAAATTAACAATATGTAAATTTCTGACTTGAACATATATTACATATTTATTTGTCTGTCTGCTTATTAACTGCTTTCCTTACTAGAATGTATGTCTCCTGAGGGCAAAGAGTGTTAGTTTTTGTGGGTCTAGGACAATGTTTGATACAGGATAAATGTTCAGTAAATGCTCGTTGAACGGAGGAAGAGAGGGTCAAGAATACGATATGAGGAGGAAACCGCTTGACTCTAACTAGGCATAAAAACGTAATTGTTACATTATTTATTCAAGACGAGATAACATTTTTGACTGGTATTTTAAAATATTTCTACCATGGTACAACTGGATCTGTCCAATGACAGTCTTTCTCTACTCAGATTTTTATTCACTTTTTCAAGATTTCATTCTGTAGGTGAGAATTACATTAAAAGAGTAAAGGAAATTCAGCTTCAATAATTCTACATAAAATTAATGTTCCTATATTATGAATATACTCACACCTTAAATATTTCGCATGGAAGTCCATTGTAGGGTTAGGACCTGAGGAAGCTAATGGCTAGGAGCTCCCATGACAGGGGACAGTTTGACAGGCGCAGGATGACTAAGCCCAGGTGCTGGGACCTTCTCCACAGAAATGTTCGATTGATCTCGTGCATACTGGCACCTTTGAGGATCAATCCACAGGTGGTTTCTGGGTTTTTCATGGAGCCATGGTTTCAGGATCTAGTTCCTGGGTGTTAGGGCTAGTACGAAGGGTTTCCTTTTCTATACTCCACTGAAGCATCTAGGAAGTCAGGTGTGTTTCCTTACTGACACACTCACACGCTCATGGCCTGGCTAATCCAGAAATGACAAGTACCAAGCACAGTGTTTCACAAAGACTTTGTTCATATTGATTTTGTGTCTTCTATGGGAACAGCCAGGGGGACAGCCAGGGGTGAGACAAGCAATCCTAGCCCCTGTGGAGTTTGTAGATGAGTGGGGGGGTCCATTCAGCAGGGGTGATCCTGACTATCAGGCTAGCAAGTGGGGGCACATGTCAAGAGGACAGAATCTCATCTGGGTGCAGGAGAGCTTCCCTGGGGGACCCGACGTTCACATCAAGAACTTCCATCAGGACAAAGAAGACAGGTATGGAGGGGAGGGAGGGAAAGTGATTCTAAGCACAAGGGGATCATAAAGGAATTCACTGATGCATGAGAAGCTGGTTGAGTTGGAAGGGACAGAAATCATTATGACCTCAATGAGCAAAATATGGGACAGAGGCATAAGGGTTGATCTGGAGAGAAGTCAGGATGGACCTCAGGGGTCATGTCTAGGATCTCTGGCTTCATCCTAATGGCAGTGGGCCTATTGGCTAAGAGCAGGTATTCATCCTTTCTGATGGCTGAGTAATATTCCATTGTATATTTGAACCACATCTTCTTTATCCATTAATTTGTTGAAGGGCATCTTGGCGCCTTCCACAGTTTGGCTATTGTGGACATTGCTGCTATGAACATTGGGGTGCATGTGCCCCTTCTTTTCACTACATCTGTATCTTTGGGGTAAATGCCCAGGAGTGCAATTGCTGGGTCACAGGGGAGCTTCACCAGAGGCTGGAAGGACAGGTGAAAGAGAACACTAGCCGGTGCCAGGAGTTAGTAGTGAGTGTTGAGAAATGGATTCTAGTTCATTCAGTGACCTTTAACACATTGAACTGAATTCAGTAACTGCCCTCCCCCCATTTAACCCCTCTTCCATCTCTGATTTGGGAAGTTGATTCTGATCGCATAGCCCACAAATCTGTTGCAACTTTCTCATTGCATAGTGAGGACTACGCACTTTTCTTCCAATCCGAGTTTTGTAAGAAGACTCTGACATTAAGTTAAATTGGCCCTTGAAACAAACAATATTTTAAAATAAACTCTCAGGTGGATGTTCCTCAAAGATCAGGAAATTGTAAAGAATTACGAGCACATTAAAAAAAAAGAATTCCTTAAATTAAAGAATCCTGTAATTCAAAGGAAGAAGAAGAAAGCAGATGGAGATTTCAAGTAATTCCTGGAAACTCTGAAATAAATTTCTTATATGAAACAGAAAAAAAAAAAAGAAAACAGCTGTTAACCATTTTCAGTGAAATAAGCAGTGATATTACAAACATAAAAGAGAATAGACTAGGATGAATTTAGTCATCAAACAAGTAAATCATTGTTGGAAGTAGGAAATAGATGAAATAAAACAAACAAACAAAAATCCTGGAGTAATGAAAACGAAGATCATTTGAAAAACATATGTAGGTTCTAGAAAAATTTCCAGGGAAAGGAACTTAATGTGAAGAAAGGTGTAAGCCATCGAGGGTAAGATTAAAAATCCAAAATATGAAGAATAAATAATATATATGTTATATATCTCTATATATAATAAAATAAAATATGATGAACTTCGATCAAATGGAAAATATCTCCTAAGGATATAATGCGAGCAACTGCTGCATATATGAAGTTTGGATTTTCCCCTTACATGATACTTATTTATTTATTTAAAGATTTTATTTATTTATTTGACAGAGAGAGACACAGTGAGAGAGGGAACACCAGCAGGGGGAGTGGGAGAGGGAGAAGCAGGCTTCCCGCTGAGCAGGGAGCCCGATGCGGGGCTCGATCCCAGGACCCCGGGATCATGACCTGAGCCGAAGGCAGACGCTTAACGACTGAGCCACCCAGGCGTCCCCCCCTTACATGATTTTTAAAAGGATAAAAGCTGTAAGGAAATTTGAGGAAAGAAATTTCTAAATTTGCTAATATTCTTCTCTCCTTAACCAAATACATATCTGTGTTGCGGGTAGTTTCTATTATATGTGTTAATTTTGGAAAGTGAAATAGAGAGAGGATGAAGGGCTCTGGACAGGACAGGAGACGCCGCCAGACACTTTGTGGTTTTGTCCCCATCCAGAGTGTGATGCTAACACCCATAGGTTGATGAGTGAACTAGACTTTTGACAAACCCTGGCTTGGGGTAGATGGGATGAGATCTGGCTAAGGCTTTAGCAAAGAGACCTAGAAACAGTCCAAAGGGAGAGAGAGGAAGAAGAACTAATATGGAATTCTGAGCTCAGGGAAGGGGAGGTGACAGGCATTTGATTTACTTACTGCGTTCCATTTCCAATGATAGAAATTCAACTCCAAGTCGCCTCAGCCCCAATGGGATAAGTCCCTGGATCACATTCCCAGAAAGGAGTGGGAAGAGTTGGCCTCAAGGACCAGTTAATTTAGGAGCGTTCAGCACCACCTGTGCCACATTTATGTCTCCCCCTCTGTCCCCCTCCCCCACCCCTCCCCCTCGGTCCTGCCCCACCCCACCCCCTTCTCCTCTCCCTCTCTTACCGCAGATGAACTTTCTCCGTGTAGCAGGAAGCAGGGTCACAATGTACTCCAGATTCAGATCCTTTAAACTTAGGAAAAGGGAGCATTTCTCTCTAGCTCTGCTGGAGATGCCTCTAGACATGACTCCCGTTGGCCTGGCTTTGGTCATGTGTTCCCCCTTCCCCCTGCCACCTTTTATAAATTACACCTTTATTGGGTTATAATCCACATAGTATGTAACTCACCCTTACAATGTGTCCAGTTCAGTGGTTTTTAGTATATTCATAAGGTGGTACAACCGTCACCACCATCTAAATCCAGAACGTTCTCATCACCTCAAAAAGACACCTCATCCCCAAGCGCCCCCATTCTGTGTTCCTCATTCCTCCAGCCCCCAGCAACCACTCATCTACTGTCTGGGTCTACAGATTTGCCTATTCTGGCCATTTCAATATAAATGGAATTATGCATCCTTTTGTGACTGGCTTACCCCCACTAAGTATCATGTTCATACCTGCTGTAGGGTATATCGGAACTTTGTTCCTTTTTAGTGTTTATACGGATATACTATGTTTGATCTATCCATTCATCAGTTGATCAACATTTGGATTCCTTCCACCTTTTGGCTATTATAAATAATGATGCAGTGAGCATTCATGTGCAAGTTTTTGTGTGGACTTACGTTGTTACGGCTTCCAGTGGCTTCCTGAAGACTACTTGTGCAAGCCTTTTCCAAACTGAACACGTTATGGGAACTTCATAGACAGGAAACCTCCACATCTGATCTAAATGCAGTCTATTTGCAAGTCCACATAAAAGGTTCCATCTTTCTGGTCCCTAATATTTGGGAGCACATTCTGAGTCCAGTGGAAAACTTTTTAGGCAATTTAAACTTCATGTAAGTTACTCTTCCCATGTGCTTTCTTAGACACACATGTTTGACTCCATGTAAAGTTATTTAATAAAATATGTTGCCTCATTTTATTAACAATGAATTATGTAATGCATCAGAGTCCTCCAGATAATATTTGCATATTTTACAGTGTCTCCTTCTTCTCTCTTTCATGTGTTGATATATCCCGATGCCTACATTGATTTAGATGTTTTTGGGGGACATATTGGGATCCTCTAAAAGGAGAAACAACTACCTACTTGGTAAGTTGAGATCTGTTCTTTTTAATGATTTTTTTCTTGAAACACCTTCATATTGAAGCTCTGTTAGTGAGTCATTTAAAACTGGAAACATCGATACATAATCTTTGAACATTATACTAATTCCAGAAAATAAACATTCTCTTTTATTTTTGTTCTTTTCTTTCTTTTTTTTTTTTAAAAATTTCAATTAGCTTACATATAGTACACCATTAGTTTTTGATGTAGTGTTCAATCATTCATTAGTTGCGTATAACACCCAGTGCTCATCACATCACGTGCCCTCCTTAATGCCCATCACCCAGGTTCCCCATCCCCCCACCCACCTCCCCTTCCACAACCTTCAGTTTGTTTCCCAGAGTCAAGAGTCTCTCATGGTTTGTCTCCCTCTCTGATGACTTCCCATTCAGTTTTCCCTCCCTTCCCATATGATCCTCTGCGCTATATCTTATATTCCAATATGAGTGAAACCATATGGTAATTGTCTTTCTCTGATTGACTTATTTTGCTTAGCATAATCCCCTCCAGTTCCATCCAAGTTGATGCAAATTGTGGGTATTCATCCTTTCTGATGGCTGAGTAATATTCCATTGTATATTTGAACCACATCTTCTTTATCCATTAATTTGTTGAAGGGCATCTTGGCTCCTTCCACAGTTTGGCTATTGTGGACGTTGCTGCTGTGAACATTGAGGTGCATGTGCCCCTTCTTTTCACTACATCTGTATCTTTGGGGTAAATACCCAGTAGTGCAATTTCTGGGTCATAGGGTAGCTCTATTTTTAAATTTTTGAGGAACCTCTGTACTGTTTTCCAGAATGGCTGCATCAGCTTGCATTCCCACCAACAGTGTAAGAGGGTTCCCCTTTCTCCACATCCTTGCCAACATTTGTTGTTCCCTGTCTTATTAATTTTAGCCATTCTAACTGGTGTGAGGTGGTATCTCATTGTGGTTTTGATTTGTATTTCCCTGATGACAAGTGATGTGGAGCATATTTTCATGTGTCTGTTGGCCATTTCTATGTCTTCTTTGGAGAAGAGTCTGTTCATGTCCTCTGCTCATTTCTTGACTGGATTATTTGTTTTTGTTCCTTTCTTACCATTAGGCAACAAAGATAAAACTTATCATTTAGGTATCCCTTTATATTTATATAGAGATTTTCCATACATGATTCCATCTGATGGCCCCATGTGTCAAATAAACAGGGCGGATGTTGGATTATACCTTGAGAGGGACCCCTAACTCGAACATGCTTGTTTCATCCTGGGTGCACAGCCCAATTTACAGAGCCCAGGTGTGCAATAATGTGTGGCTGGACTGTCTAGACTAAAGCTCATCTAGTTGATTGAGGTTGAATTCTGTTATCTTCCAGCCATGTGATGAGAGCTGACCATCGCTTTAAGTGGCTTGTGTGGGGGAGAGGGGGCCCTCCTTTCTTTCCTTTTTGTGTGGCCTCTCATTTGAAGTGGGATTGGGTTAGGAGCCATTTTTACTTTCCTGAGGTTTTTCCCTATTGGTGCTGATGGCGGCAAAACTATTTGGTGATCTTCCATTGCTTCCTTGCTTAAGAGGTATATTGGGGGCATCAATAATAAGATCACGGAACATTCTGGAAGTGGAGAGAAGGGCCTTGCCTTATGACTATTCCTGTATTACAGGTCTCATTTCTGATAAATCCAGAAGTGAATTGTATGAATGGTCACTTGGTAAGTGACCTTTCTTCCATACGACACCAGCAGATGCTTTCGGATCAAGCCAGACTCTGCTGAATTGATTTCGTAGTAGATTAACCCCTGAAATACGAACTATTTTAAATGAAAATGAAGAGAACAGTACTGCATTAACTTGCTTTGCAAATCACTGAAACAGTAAACTTGAGGCATCACAACTAGCTTGAATGTTAGCAGGAATCAAAATAGCAAATCTGGCTCAGGATATCAGCATTGACCTTTCCCCCTGCCTCACTTTGGGGCATTTTCTGAAAAAGCTCAAACTCTCTTGAACCCCTCGTTGCCCTCCACCCTCAACAGTACTTTGGGGCCAGCAGGTGAAGTTAACGGTAATGTAGTTCTTTCCTTTTACAGATCAGTTTCCCTCTCATTTAATTTTCAGCATAGATCTGTGAACCAGGTGTTCTATGACCTGCTTCTATAGAAGAAATGAACAATAACTCTTGGTGCTAATATCATACGCAAGACCCTTAACTCTGTGCTAATTGCTTGACACAGCTTTCTCTTCACAACCATCCTGTGAGGCAGCACTATGTTCCTTCCATTTTGTAGATGAGCAAACTGAGGCTTAGTGCGTTTCTGTAGTGTGTCCAAGGCTACACAGCCAACATGGGACTTGGATCCAGGCTGTGAGTGGCAGAGAAAGGACTTTGATACAGACCTGTCACACTCTCCAGCTTTTGTTTTTGCCAATGCCGTTTTCCGGAAGAGTTGTGAATTTCACCCTATTTCGGAGTTCCTCATTAAAATGAATAACACAGATATTAATATTTCATTGAGCTCAATGTTTGATCCCCACTAGGCATACTGTAATTTATTTGAAGTGCTGGGGCTTATAATCTGAGGCTTGATTTATTTTTTATTTTTTTTAACTTATTTTTTATAAGATTTTATTTATTTATGAGAGAGAGAGAGAGAGAGATCAAGAGCAGGGGGAGAGGTGGAGACAGAATCCCAAGCAGACTCTGAGCTGAGCCCAGAGCCTGATGTGGGGTTGGATCTCACCACCCTGATCGTGACCTGAGCTGAAACCAAGAGTCGGATCCTTAACAGACTGAGCCTCCCAGGTGCCCCCTGAAGCTTGATTTAAAACAAAAAGATTTTAGACACCCTCCGAGTTGTCGCTTTGGGAGAACATACAGTTATTCAAACAGTGTGACCATTGCCGAGGATATTTTTTGAACACTTCTTTTTTGGCATTGCCTTCAGAATCTACGACCCATTCTTTTGAATCACTGTAGTGGTGGAAAATATTTGTCCTTGGATTTTATTTTGGAATCAGCCAAAATAAATGTGATTAATAAATGTGATTAATTAATTAGATTAACAACCAACTTGGGTGCATTAGTTGTATACTGCTGTGTGTCGAATTATCCCCAAACTTAGCAGTTTAAAACAACAAACATTTGTTATATTACAGTTTCTGAAGGTCAGGAACCCACAGGCAGCTTAGCCGAGTGGTTTTGACTCAGAGTCTCTAACAAGGTTGCAGATAAGTTGTTGTCTGGGGCTGTGATCTCATTTGAAAGCTTGACTGGGTCTGAAAGATCCACTTCCAAGATCATTCATGTTTGTTGGCAGGCCTCAGCTCTTCATGGGCTCTCGGACTGAGGGCTTCAGTTTCACCCACTGTGGGCCTTTCCATAGGGTTGTCTGAATGTCCTCAAAACATGACAGTTGGCTTCCCCCAGAGACAATGATGAGAGAGAGAAAGAGAGAGAGAGGGAGAGGGAATGAGCAAGACAGAGAGCACCCAAGACAGAAGACCCAGTCTTTGGTTACCTAATTTTGGAATTTGTGTATTATCCCTACTGTGTATTTTATTAGTCACACAGACCAGCTCTGGTCCAGTGTGGGAGGGGAATACCTGAGTGTGAATATCAGGAGACCATCTTGGAGGCTGGCTACGGCATTGGGAAAATGCCATTTTGGACCAAAAATATTTTGTGGATATAAATTAACGTGACGGATCCTTTTTATATGGCTCAGAAGGTAATTCCAGAGCTGAATTTTAAAAACATTTTGGGCCTTGGGAACATCATGGATGCAGCTATGCAGCCATCTCAGAGACTTCTTCGAAGACCACAATTTAGTTTATTTCACCAAATGTGTATTACAAGCACTGGGCAGGTCTCATGGAGGACTGAAAGACAAATATGACAGTCCCTGCTCTCGGGGCTTATAGTTGTGGCTAGGACAGATGGCACATGGAGAGAAATAAGCATGGGTTCAGCTGTGACATCATGCAGGGGAGGGTGAGGGAGAGCCAGGTAAGGAAGACAGAGCTGTTCTGTTCTTGGGCATCTCTCATCAGTGTGGGTCTGGTTATGCTAGTCACACCTCTTCCCACTGTTCATAGTTGCAGGGTCCATATTGTCTCAGACCGTGGTGTGAATGACAGAGCCTATATGTCCTTTCATCTGTAGAGAGCCTGAGAGGGATCTTTCCTCCTGGGAATCGAGGGTACCCGAACAAGTGGCACAGACTTCAAGAATAAACACTGGCTTTGAGTAATGGCTTCAAGGTAAGGGGACGCAATTAAAAATGTGTACTTAAAAATAGAAGCTGCTTGGGGTCAGTGCCTTCACACTGCTGCCCTCGCGCCCTCAAATGTCTAACTCTGCCACTCAGCTCTCATCTTTGCTCGCCTTCCCACCTCCTGGTCTCCTCCCAGACTCTGTCCCCCAGTCATCTCTCCCATCCCGCACACCTTGAGCTTTCTCCTGTGGTTTTTGTATTTGTCACCAGTGACATGATCAAGTGTCCAGTTGAAGAGCAAACAGACAGACAGAACAGCCCCTCCTTGGACGCTTCCCCATCCCAGCAACTGCCCTCCTTCCCTCCTTGTGTGCTGAGCTTCTCCATGCAGTTGTGGTCTTTGGCTGCTGCCCCACACTGCCCGCCTCCCATTGGTGGTCTACTTTTTGCACCCTGAACTTTCAGCCCTCAGATCCACGAAATCAGATCTGCCTTCCTTTCCTCAATCAATAATTTAAATACTGGTGGCCACTTGTGTTATGTCCTTAACCTACCCTCTCCTCCTTCCATGGATTGCTCTGTCATCTCTTCCACCTGCCCAACTTCATCAATGATCTGCAATTATTTCCGAGCACACATGTCTTACCACGGTCTGTCCTGAGATCCAGGCTCACTGGATGCAGTTGCTATGGGTACCTGTGACCACCTGGAACTCATCTGGCCCCTTCTTCAACTGCCTTTCTTAATTGAGGGAGTCACTATCCACCTAATTTTCTCAAGCTCAAAATTTTAGAGCATCATTGACTCTTCTTTCCCCTTTCTCTTCTCCCGACATCCACGGGGGTCCAGTGTTATTGATCTTGGCCACACATTCTCTTTGGCTTTGGCCAATCATTTCATTACCATCACCACTGACCAGTGCATACATTCTTGCCCCAGGTCCTGATCTCATGCTGTCCACCTTACACGCTGTCCTCAAGCTTATCTTGAAACACAGAGGAGTCTCTGATCCTTTCCACATAAACCCCCTAATGCTTGCTTCATTTGGGGATAAAGCAGAGGTATGCAAAAGGCAGACACTAAGCCAAAAGGAAGAACAGCCCATATGCCCCTAGTGTGGTGGGGAGCTGAAGACTGAGCCCTGGTTTACCAAACCTGCACTGAATATCACTGAGTATATAAATTCCCAGTTGCTAGGGATTGAAGCAGATGTAACTAAGTCTTTCTAAGGGTTCCCAAGTAGTAAGGGGACACTTGAAAGTAGAAAGGGCACACTTGAAAAGAATCTTCAGATGCAATTATAGACATCGATTCAACGCACGTTCATTTTTACACACACACACACACACACATTAATAACAAAGCTTGAGCCTTCACAGACTTTAGTTTGCATAACACTGTATACCATCAGGATAAAGTCCGAGCTCCTGAGCATGGCCTACAAAGGCCTTGGTGATCTGGCCCCTGCCCAATTCTACTCCGCCTTGGTCCTAAGCTCCAGCAGTACTGAGATCCCACAGCTTGTCCTGCTGAGACCTCTGCATGGAAGAACCACCTGGCTAATCTCTCCTCACCAGTCAGGCCTCAGGGCACTGTCATTTCCCATGAGAGGTCTACTCTGACCCTTTTCCCATTGTCCTCATCACAGAGCCCTGCAATTGCTCGTCTCCTCTCTGTCCCAACGGGCTGCACCAGACTCCCTAAGCACAGGGCGCCGTGTGCACGTAGGGCGCAGGGCACATCACATGCTACCATCTCCTAGTGCCCTGCACAGAGCCTGGCACAACAAACATTCAGCAACTATTTTTGAGTGGATGACGGAATCCTTCACTTTAGGTTCCTGAGACAGTTATTTTAAAAAAATCAGTTAAGCATAGTATAATTAATTTTTAACCACTGGAATTTGAAAGACGTCAACTGTCATTTTACGAAAATAGAAGGAAAATTTACCAGCGAGGCTGTATTGGATGAAAGATGCAAATGGTAGGTTTTCTTTTTAATCTATGTGCCTCCTAAAAATAAACACCGGCTTCATATGGAGATCTAGAAGCTACTCATTATGAAGAAACGGACTCATCGTATTCCTTTTTTACAAATTTAAATCGTTTCCTTTTGCTTTATAGAGCATCCTCAGGGGGCAAAATAGAATTCTCAATGAACTGGCTGTATTTCATTTATTTATAATATGATTTTATTGGGCATATTCACATGCATGGATTGCAATATAAATTATTGATTTGATTTCTGTAACAAAATTGATTGTCTACCAAATGTGTCTTTAAAGGCAGTGCCCATGAAAGGCTCGACACCACCACCCTCACCTGGGCATCGACTTTGACTTAAGTCCCAGTTATGTCCCTGCACTCCTGCGACCTTCAGAGTTCCCCACTGGGCTCCAAATTTCCTAGAATCCCAAAATGAGCCTGGGAAAGCCAGCGCACGGACTGGAGTCAGAGGACCTGGCTCCGAGCCTGCTCTGCCCCAGGAGCTGGGAGATCGTGCTCCAGTCTCCTCACCTCTTGGCTCACTTCCTTCAAAGGTTTATTATTATTTTCGTACTTGTTTTTGGCCCTGCTAGACCGTGAACTCCTTGGGGATGCACGGCCTTGTCATCCTTATTAATTATTTTAGTTTACTACCATAAAGTTAAGAACAATGTCTAGAACCTAATAAGGGTTCAATCAGGTTGGAAGGAAGGAAGGAAGAAACACATGCATGACCCAAATCAGGATGACTGTTTTCAAGTTGTGGATGACATTTATCTGGTGGGGAGCTCCCTGAGGACGGAGGCTTTGGTTCAGCGAGCACGGAACCCTCAAAGCCTGCTTAATAGGGGCTGAGTAAGTGTTTTTGTAATTTAATAAACACTTGTTCTAGGACTCTTTCAGGTTGCTAAAAAATCATTTCATAGACAGGAGTAGATAGCAAAAGGTAATATTTCAACACGAGCTTTGGAATTTTTTCTTATCTGCTACTCTAACATAGGGGCCATGAAGATCAGGTCCCAGCTCTCACGCTGTAAGGGATCTATCTGAGCATCTAGCTCTTGCATGATCTTTATAGCTGGACTAATTCACACTCTTTAATTATGCAGTGGCCAGACGACCACAAACCACACAGAGTGCACCCAAACCACAGCGGCGTGAGGGAGGCGTTTTCCTTTACATTGCAGTGTCATTCGTGTGGACCCCTGAAACTCTGCCCAGAGCAGCAAAGCGGGCTGTTGCTAGTGAGGCCTGAGGTGGACAGCTGCATGCTGAGAAGGGTCAGCCTCACGAGTTTGTCAGTTTGCTCAACAAATGTGTCTGGGCCCTGCACCAGGGAAGATCAGAACTCTCAAGGGTGCCTGGGTCTGTGTTTGGACCCATCCCATGCACTGCCTTTTATAAATCTTGCAACAACAACTCCTGTGAAGTTTCGTCATTATTTCTCTGTTTTGTAGATGAGGAAGCGGGGGTATCAGAGGCTCTTGCTCTCAGAGGCGGTGTTGAGATTGGGATTTTAAAGATTTTTTAAAATTTGTTTATTTGAGAGAGAGAGAGAGAGCAGGAGCGGGGTGAGGGGCAGAAGGAGAAGCAGACTCCCCGCTGAGCAGGGAGCCCAACACAGTGCTTAATCCCGGGACCCTGAGGTCATAACCAGAGCTGAAGGCAGGCACTTAACCGACTGAACCACCCAGGTGCCTCCAAGATTGGGATTTTAGTTACTGACATCTGTCTGTCTTTCTTTCCCTGCCCTGTGACACTCTGCCTCATGTCAATATCTCCAAGTTTAGGAAACAGCAGGAGAGGGCAGAAGCCCAAGGATTATTATTTTTTTAAAAAGATTTTATTTATTTATTTGAGAGAGGGGGGAGGGGCAGTGGGAGAGGGACAAGCAGACTCCCTACTGAGACCGGAGCCCAGCACAGTGTTCGATGCAGGACCCCGAGGTCATGACCTGAGCTGAAGCCAGACGCTTAACAGACCGGGTCACCCATGCACCCCAAAAGCCCAAGGATTATTTACATGTGTCACCTGTTGGGTGAAGCTAGGTAGGCAGCCACCAGCCGGAAGTCAAAGAGTAGCTGCCTGGAAGTGTTAACACACACCTACCTATCATCAGCTAGCTCGGAGGGGTGACCCCACAACGTGGGCCCCTAAGTGAGCTGGCTGAGTGATTTCCATATTTGGGTGTCAGACCCACGAATGACAACCTGTTGTCATGATCTCCCATGGCTGCCCCCCCCGCAACTGGGGGAGCCAGGACCCCCCCACGTCTGAGGGAGCCAGGACCCCCCCCACGTCTGAGATAGAAAGGTCCAGCCGGTGCTCAGAAGGTGGAAAGCCAGCCGTGTGGGACTCTGTCCACTTATACTCCTCTCTGATGCTCCTTCACTGAGCATACCTAAGGAGGAAGGACAGTCCACTCTCATATCTTGGCAGTTATGATCTGTAAAGTTGCTGCCAACACCGAATTAGCAAATACTGAGCCATTGTTCCTGTGGGAAGTAAGGGTTAGGCTCCCGTGAGCCTCTGGTCACCTTTTGTCAACCGGTCAGTACACGACCTTGTTTTATGTGTGTTTCTGTTGAAAGACACCTTATTTAAAATCCACTATTGACTCATACTGAACTCACAGTCCACGGCACTATACCTCAGGCCTGAACCACACTTCTCGAACACACACGTATTCGCCATGAGGCACACCAGAGCCTTCTGTGCTTAACAGTGCTAGACACCACCTTGGCACCATGCGTGGGTGCCATTTGAAACAGTGAAATCACCAACAAAAAGCACTAAAATGCCCAAAGCCTGTCCCTAAATAGTCTGCAAGGAGGACACTTGTTTACAGTATGAGCTGAATAAGGAGGCAGAGCATCACCTTGTTTGACCTTGGCTGGCAACATGCACTGCTGAATCCCAGGACCTCTCTCCCCTGGTTCTGCCCTGCTCTCCATCTGCCTCCTGGTGCCTCCAGCCCCTTTGCCCACTGAAATTTGTGGCTGCATTTGGTGCTTCTTTCCTGGCTCTCCTCTCAGCCACGTCTTCTCTCTGTTCTGCATGGATCTCTCTTCTTCCTCCTGTTCCCCAAATGGGGGTGGCCCCCGGGACTCCAGCCTTGGCTCTTCCTCTACTCACTGTCTTCTCTTTCCCAGTGACCCAGGCCCCCCCCGGCATTTTGATGCCCATCCGTCGGGGGGAGCATTCCACCCTCCTTTTCCATAGTCTGCCCTAACCAACAGCATGCCAGATGCCTCCATCTGGATATACTGCCACATGCTCAAACCGGAATTCTTCCCTTCAGGATCAGTCTTCCTCCTGGAACCAACCCATCTTCCTGGTCACCCAGATCTGAAGCAGAATCCTCTTGGACCTCCTCCCTGCCCTCATCCGCCCAGCCACTGCATTCTGCTGTCTTCTTCTGAAGAGTTTCCTGGCTCTGTCCCTTTGCTAGCCTGGTGTAGTCAGCATCTTCCTGATGGTCCCGTCTTGCTCCCCTCAAGGTCACCTCCACGTGTCATCAGAGTGATGTTAACACTGGTGGAGGCGGGAGTGGGGTCTAAACTCTCTAGTGGAGGAATCGGGCCCTCTGCACAGTGGTGTGGTCCATGTCTGCGTCCCCTGCTTCTCTCTGCCTCCACCTGACGTGGAAGAGTCACATGGCTGATTATTGCCCCAGGCCCCCAGTCTGGCTCTGACCTACCTTCCCAGGTCCCTGCTGCTGTGCTGCAGCACCCCACCCCCAGCTTGTCCTCGGGGTCTAGCTCACATGTCTTTTCCAGGAACCCCTCTCCTCGGTGTCTCCTGCACGTGGGTATCCCTGGAATTATATCTACTGTACTGTACTCTAGTCCCTTTTGGCTTCTTTATGGTTGATGATTTCTTCCTCCCTCCCTACTTCCTTCCTTCCTTCCTCCCTCCTCCCTTCCTCCCTTCCTCCCTTCCTTCCTTCCTTTGTTTGAGGCTACACCTTATTTATGTTTATAATCCCCAGTACTTAATGCATACATGTCTATTGGACAGATGAATGGATGAATAAATGAATGAATGAATACTCCCATCTTCAGCCCCATACCCTCAGATGGCTGTAGCTGAGGTCTGTCTACCCCTTTACTAGCTTAGGTGGCTCTGTCCTTCCTGGCTGCAGCTTTGGCTCAGGGCCCCTCTGGCCCTTCCTTTTTTGAAACTTGAGTTTCCTTTCTAGGGCTGCCTCCCCTTCCCCTGCAGGTATCTCTTACCTCTTTTCTTTGTTCAAGGAGCTGGCCACTTCGCATAGTTGCTCCCGACTCTAGTGCCCCCTTGGATTCTCTTTGACTACACCAGGAGTGCTGGGTCCTGTGTCTCCATAGCAAGAATGTGGAATGCATGCCATGGAGTCTAATTGCCCCCTTCTCTCTTTTCACAGCAAAATACATCGGAAAGAATAGAAGGGCCAGTGAAGAAAGATACTTTATGAATTGTGTGATTTTTTTTTTGATCGGTTCCAGTCCTTAATAAATGCTTTACTCTTCCTCTTTCTTCCATTGCCCGATTAAATAAAAAAAAAAAAAGGTGTAACTATCGAATTTTTAGATAAGAAGCAATGACATGAGGAGATTAATATTACCTAAGGATTTTAGGAGCTAAGAACTCACAACGTGGCCATGCTTAGCATAATGATGTCAAATGCATGTTTTAGATCAATATGCAATGATTGTAAATTCCTCATTTTTAAAAAGACAATCAGTCCAGGCAGCTTGGTGTCAAGAGTGTCTTTCCTTTTGTGACTTACTTTAATTAAAAAATAATAAAGCATCTGGTGATTTAGGGATGAAAGGCAGTCCCCTCCCCACCACCAAGATGTCCCTGTGGATTCTTTTTCTCTAGACTTGTCAGTCCCGGGCATCAATATAGCAAAGCCAGCTTTCTGTCAAAACAGATATTGCCAAGAAAGTGCCCAAGGACTGAGGTCTGTGTCCCCAGGCCGCCTGGCAATTGCCGCAGTTAGGGGGTGCTCTTGGAGCCTGGCCCTTCTGCAGCAGCCCTGGGAGGATTACAGGATGTGAGAATCTACAAATCCAAATGCAGTCCCTTTCCAGCGAGACTGAAACCCTTGTCAGATCCCCCTGGCTTTCCATGAAGACGTCACAAGCCCCTGAGAACTATTTCCTGAATGGATAATACACTAAAGACATTATTGGTTATTTGCACCTTCATTTACAGGGTGATGGGTATTAAAGAGGGCACTTGTGATGCGTACTGTGTGTTATACACAACTAATGATTTTTTGAATACTACATCAAAAGCTAATGATGTACTATACAGTGGCTAACTGAACATAATAAAAAAATAAAAATATATATATAAAAAAAGGAGTGACTGCTTACTCCTCCTCCCGTAGCAAACTGTCCCACTTCCTACAGCTTCTCAAAATCTGCTGAGGCTAGAAACTGCCTTGCCCCCATCTTCTCTATTTTTCCTGGATATTCTCATATGCTTATTTTATTTCCACTTTTAAGATCAGCATGTCAAGGCATGAAAAAAAATTCCGTTGGTATTTGAAATCAATTACACCAAATTTGTACCTTGTTTTTTGACACCTTTCGACTCCTGAGGTTTATTCTGTGAGAATAACCCATATGTTTCCACTTATCGAAGTCTACTTATGTGACACTTAACAGAGTTTAAGAGGGTTTTTTTTTTTTGTGATAAGAGATGTGCTTGGCATATTTTCTAAAAAAAAAATATTTACTGGTGTTTTCTTTTTGTTATTATAAATGAGATCTTCTGTTGTTCTATCTTATAAACTTCACTAATATATGTTAGGTTTTTAGCCTATCTTCAACAATTTCCACATTGTTTTTAATAGTTTTTTCAGTTGCTATTCCAGAGTGTTTCATGTATACCATATAACTTTTGCTAATGATACTAATTTTGCGTCCCCCTCGTCATTTTTTCAGTGTCATTTCTTTCTTTTTCTTACTTCCTTTGAATATATTCCAACAGGGTTAGATAACAACAGGGTGGTGATAAGCACCTTGTCTTATCCCTCACTTTGTTGGCATTCTGAGAAGCATTTCAGTGTGGCGCCCTTACGCGCCGTGCTGCCTTCCGGTCTGGCGTAAGTGGTATTTATGTCTTCAGTCCTATTCAGGTTGCACTCATCCTTCCGCTGAGAAGAGTTTAGAACATAAACGTATATGGAGCTTTCTCAAACATCTTTTGAAATTTTTCTTTTTTGAATTTAAAGTTGGAGACTTGGAATTTGTCTTTCTTCTTTGATAACAAAACATGGTGAATCATTTTAATGTAGTGCCTAAATTGAACCATTTTTGCATTCCTGGAACAACCCCACTTGGCCATGGTTTACTATTCTTTAAATATGCTGCCAGATTCCAGTTGCTTCACTGAGGATGTTCGTATCACCTTTCATACGTGAGAGTGATCTGTAGTCTCTTTTTGTGCTGTTGTGCCGTCTTATCTGGTTTTGGTATCAATGTTGTGAAACCCAGCACAGCCTGTATGTGGTACCTCCCTCTGCCCACCATCTCGCTGTGCCCTGGTCTAATAGAGGAACATCCATGGAGGGCCGGTGTGACCTCTTTAGTGGTCACAACAGTATATTAACCACATTTAAGTAATTTAAATATTTCTATCATCCGCCTTCCTCAAACATTTTTGCCAACACATTTCTTCCACTGCCTTCTGGAAAGAGAGAGTAGTAAGAAACAGACCTCAGCCTGAAATGGTCAATCCCTGCTTAGCAAGGCTCATGGGGGCTGGGATGGGAGTCTGCTGGGTCATCCATCTGGCAGAGGAACTGTCTGATTTGTTCTGTAAATGTGTGCGCGGGGATTGTGTGTGCCATTCTCCTCGTTGAGCACAGGCACCGTGCCCTCACTCAGTCTGTGCCCTCTCCAAGCACTGATGTACCCTGGGCGTCAGCAGACCAGCAGGGAGAGACACACTTAGCAGGGGAAATGGGCTTATCCACCGTTGGCAACGGCGGAGACTATAAAAATACAAACTGAGTGCAGGACCCCCAAGCTCTGCACATGCTCCACTGAGGCTGTTTCTAATTCCTTCAGGCCAGAATTCAGGTGAGTGATTTTCTGTTAACCAAAGAGAGTTCATGGGTTTCCTTTGATCAGCACACACACGTCCTCTCCCAGCTCCCACTTCCATAGAAATCCCAGTACAAGACAAACAGTGACAAACCTCTCCCTAAAAATGTCGTTGTGCCACTCTGAGGCTGGCTACAGAACAATTTTGGCCTCTTTCCAGAGGCAGGTGTGACGCGAGCCAATCTGCATGAGGTGACTTGTTGGCGAGAGAATCATTAGCAGTGTGGACACGCATAACAATGTTGCATTCTCGTGAGCCCCTGGGAACATGCGCACCCCTCTACAGAGGGACTGCACTTACCTCCCTTGTCCCTTCACAGCTTGGACGAAAAATTGCCTCGGGTTCCAACATTTAACATTCCTTCTCATTTTCTGTCCTGGGATGTCTCGGTGTGGCTTGGCTTGTCGCCAACCCGTTGCACAGCTCGTCCCTTTTCCCTCGTCCAGGGGACATGTGCGAGGAAAGCTGTACGCTCAGGTCCTACCCTTGGGGCTGCCTTAGCCTGAAAATTTGCTGGTGTCTTCCTCAAGTTTGGGGCAACTTCCCAAACTGTTTTGTGGGTCTTCTGTTTTGTGTTATTTTCCTTCCGACTGCAGCAGGAGATTTAATTCTGATCCTAAGATTAATTTTATATACATTTCACAACACATGGCCTGATTTCTCCAGCAACCACTGGGCATTAGTGGCTCCGGAGATGTAGGACAGTGACCAAGTAAGGAACATTCTCCAAAATGCTCCGCACGCCAGAAACCATGTTCCAGCCTTTTAAAATGAGGCTCAGCTTGATCCACCCTGAGTTTTCGGGACTGTCTCTTTCCTTTTTTCTCTGTCTTTCCTCAACCCCTGTCTTCTCCTTCTCTAGGTTATGGTACCTTTGTGCTTCTTGTGATACCAAGGAAGGGAAATGCGGATTTTCCCATCTTGCTCAACTGTCCTATGTGAAGAGCTCTGTTTACGTGAATGGTAGCTTTTAAGGAGGGTATGTGGGGCCCACTGTGGATGAGTGTGAGTGGGGTGAGGAGGAGAAGCTCAAAGGGGATTCAGCTGGGGCTGCAGCTGCAGCGGGCAGGTGTAGGGGCTGGGTGGGTGGGGGTCAGTGGGTCTTGGGACATAGGGAGCCTAGAACATGGTGGGAGCTGAAGCCCCCTGGAGTCTTTTTGGAAGTGATTGGTTAGACTTCTCCAGAGTGGTAGCCCAACACCCTCACTAAGTTGTATGGTTTCTTACGGTTGCCCTAACTACTGCCCAAGGGCAAATACTGCTGCCTGGTCAGGAGCCCAGCCACAGTTGCCATGGCGGCATCTGTGACCACTGGTCCACGAAGCATATGAAATCTCTAGCTGGGACCAGGCAGTGAACTACAGGGGGCGGCTGCCGGGGTCACATGCAGACCGGTGAGCATTAGTGGTCAAGAGAATTAGACACATCAGAGGGATTATAACCTCCACCCCACCCTGGGAACTTAGAGACACCAAATCCCAGATTTAATCTGTGACAACCTCCACCCACTATGTTCCCTGGCTAGAGCCATTTCTACGGAACAACAGGATGTTTCTGCTCTATCTCTGAGCGGTCATGGATGCTGCAATCCCGATTCTACCCATTGGCTCACGCTGCCAAAGGAATGGACTCCCAACTGTAAGCACCTATCGTCCTGGAGACGTCAATAGGCAGAAGGAGAGAAGCCATCCAAAGCTGCTCATTCTGATGGATTTGCCAATAGAATTTACACGAAACAGCAAGAGATCAAGGAGAGAAGCCACAGATCTGAGACCCTCAGCTTTCTCAAATTCACATGCTTGAGTTTGCACACTTGTCCAAACCCCACATTTCTTCTGTCTTCCTTCCCCCTTTTGACTCCAGTCTCCTCTCCACCCTCCACGTTGCGAGGTCTTCTGCATCGGCCCTGGCAGGCCCCCAGAGCTGATTTCTCCCTTGCCCAGCTCAGTCTGCTTCTCTCCCTCCTGGTGTTCTCACGCCCTTCCGTGTTTGACGCAGTGTAGGGTCGGTCCCAATGTCTGTATTGGTTCCCACGCTCTCTTGCCTTCGTAGTAGATTGCTTCAGCCATTCTCCTTCCATGTGCCAAATTAGGCCGAGTATCAAACATTTATGTTCTATTATATCTTGAGTCAGTGTTCACATGAGCTGAGCTTTCTCCCCACTGTCCTTTATTGTTTTGTTCTGTTTGGGGCGCAGGCCTATTTTACTCCAAATGGTGTCTACTCATTTCTAAAATACGATTTGAATTTGACTGTATTACCATAGTTAACGGTCAGCTTTGTCAATCAATATGTTACTCACTAATGTGTTCACCCTGATTGGATC